ARCYYYYTMWRMGMRMCYCTATRTCATCTTTGTTAGGTTACTCTTTGTTTGCTTCAACAAGGAAGATTCCATGGAGCCTTGGAATACGCACGGGAGTGTGGTCATCTAGGCAAGAAAGGTTAGAGACCTCGAGGCAGAGCAGATTGGAGGGTATAATTTTCGACACCACGACACAATGAACAAAAGTTTGGAAAATAATAACGGCACGGATTATTTCTGAATGATCTCCTTCGCAGCCTAACATTTTGTCGGGCTTCCCGAARGACACTATATACACACAGCAATAAAAGGTTGGAAATCATTGTATTTCGGATATTAATAATTGAGGTCTTAAATTGCACTCCATGAGCTCTGAACTRTAGTTACGAGAAAGCAGGTTAAATGCTCCATGGCAAATAGCACAAATTTTTATCRTAACTAAAATCCAGTATTTTATTGGGTTCTGATGTCCTCTTGAAGTTCAAGTAAGTCCTTCAGAACGTCATTTGGGACCGTCTTTTTAGATTACAGCATGCCATACTGGAAGCAAAAGGAAATTGGTCTGTTCGTATACTTTGATCTCATTATGAATTACTAACTAATTGATAGAACAAAAAGAATGTATTGATGCAACAAAATAACAAAGTTTTAATTCAGATTTCAAAGAAAGCGGTAATGCGYTTGTTCATCTCTTGTAGATGGTCAAGTGCTACATATGTTTTTTGAAGCTTAAGCTAAAAACCTACTTGACTTTTTTGTCAAAATAACAACTCAACTTTTTCAGACACTGTTATCGCATGTATTGATTTATATCGTCTCACTGATCAGCAAACTTGCCTCTGCAAATAAAGGTATATACACCTGCGGGTAATAATTGTACATTCTGCGATACCCGCTCTCATGCCGATACACCGGTCCCTTGCTAATGCTCTGATGTTCGGGTCATTCTAACTGTCATATTAAAGTATTTCAGGACTCGATCCAAATGCATGCAGTAGCTCATGCACATGACAGTCTCAAAGCTATAAATGACAGTCTACATAGTAAACGTAGTTTTATAACATTGATGACATTTTGTTTTTAAGAGTTGATGGATGCTTTTCGCCTTTGTAAGTCGTCGGTGGTTGCCTTGAGGCTGAGTCGCAGGCAAATTCCTTTCAAAAGCGTCTTTACCATTGAAGAGGTACATGAAAACAATTGAGATTGTTGAGTGTCTAATGATGGATTCTCTGAGACACAGACCTCCGCGGTTAATTTCGTTCTGCGAGACTTTTTGTCTGCTTGATCTATAAAAATAAATCTAATCAACATGTTGAAGTGAGTCCATTGGTGGATTCAGTTAGAGTGCATCACATCAAGGCGACAGTCGCATTACATTTCCGACAGTTTCGAAAATCAATTTTTGTTAAACCCACAGAAACTTTGAAACCATTTATATTTTTAMCTCAGTGAGAGTAATAGAATAAAAGGTTCTATTTTTGTTATTTGTAATGCTAAGGACAGGCACCGTGGAGCCGGGGGGAGGGGGGGAGGCGGTTGCTTGGGGGGGCTTTGGACGCCATTTTGAAAACATTTGTCTAACATTCCTCTGGGTCAATCTTACGCTTCTCGAACGTTGTCGCTTCCCGATTTTATTTCAAAAACATTTTCATATTTAGTGACACTGATTAAAATTTTCAGACGCCATTCGACATTCGTGCGCGGTCTTGCTGCTTAGCTTCAAAGTGTTGCTAAAATTAAATTRAATTTGGTGGGTAGCTCGGAGGGGGAGCGTTAAAGCCGTCTAAGTTTTATGCATGACTTGGTGAATCACTTTTATGAAAACAGCAGGGTTCTGTAGCTGTAATTACATTGACTTGAATCTAATCTGATAAGAATTCATAAWAATTTTATGATGAAATAAAAGAAATTGATGACAATATATTGAACTTGGCATGTCATCTCATAGAAAAGACTCATTGGGCCAGCAAAAATAGCCCTAAAAAAATGCGCCACTTTGAATTTAGGAATTTTATCATTTAATGTTAATCTTAATTTTATTTTACCGTATTTCAGGCAATTTCTATTTTGATGGGGAGTCAAGAGGACTGTCATTTGGCTTGTGATCTCATAAAAGTACTTATGTTTTTTATTATCAATATTATTATATGTTATATTTCTTATTCATTGTTAATTTCTCTTCATGTAAATGTAGTCCCACTATATATAGTATATACCAAATAATATCCAAACTGAAAAATTCCTTTTGTCTTCTTAATAATAACAAAATACTTGCATTTCTGCACTGCAAAGAAAACACAACGGATAATAAGAAGCATCTAAACTGAGAGAAAAGCGAAGACCACATTTCCCATGATGCTTTGTTGYAGAAAATAGCGTCGCTGAGTGTTGCTCAGTCCAGTTGGTTGACTGAATCTTTCCTATAGCGCTTTATACCATTAACTTCCATAATCATTTGCGTTGTTTTTTTGTTTTTTTTTTTCATCTTTACACGGCAATATTGATTTTGATCCATGATAATGATGACAACTCAGAGTCGGAAATCAGTAAACTGTTAAAACATACTAATAAATTTTGGGGAAAAAATAGACAAAAAATGGTTCAGAGTTTTCCAGTCTGTCTCTTTWTTTGATTCAGCGACGCACGATCTCTTACGCACGTTTCTTTGTCAGTGTCTACCGCTCTTATCAATCTAGCTCATTTCATCTTTCTATTATGTACTGATTACATTCAGTTTATTCTAGCTAATCAATCTTTCTTCACATTAATATATATGAAGTCGTATTTATACTAATGTACCGTATTGTTATTACAGAAAGCCAAAAAAGAAGGCCATCAAATAGTGTCTTCCGCGATTGACAAACCTGGAGTGAATGATAATTCAAGGTATGCAATGCCCTATGGGTAAAACGGCCATGACGCCGGAACAAACTGTGCTGATTGTTGAATAAATCAAGTCTCCTACCTATGAGAAAACCATGCCGATAAAGATGATCTGATCAGCCCAATGATAATATATGACTAAATAACACTCAAATTTAGTCGCATCAATAAGTATGAGACCCAGTGGAAAACTGAATAAATTGTTTGAAATATACGATTTTTTAATACGAAAAAATGTACAGAAAATCCTAGAAAAAAGATGAGATAAAACGCCGAAACTTTGCAGTAAACGTCTTTAAGTAAAAGCTCTAGAAAGATCTTATGAAACTAATTAACAGAATTTTGAACACCTACAACTTATATTTACTCACAATTTACAGTCAATGTGTAATATTGAGCAAATTCACAGACTTCCAGAGAGCTAACCTCAGACGCTTACGTGGCTCCCTTTGGCGAACCACAGAAGACGTCCAGTGACCAAAGTTTATTAGCTGGTCGTGCGGGGTTTCATAAGTAAAATCATCACACGGACAAAGTATAGCCTTTCTAATTAAAAAACGTGATGCCTACTTCGATTTATTTTCATATTAACATCACGCGCCGTCTCATTCAAATGCGGATACTCTCATCTATAATGTTCTTAGCTACTGCAGCTAGGTAACGGTTTTTTAAAGTATTATCATTTTCGTAGATCAAGGTACTTGCTTTGATAGCCTGATAAGTGGTGTRCGTCAACTTGATGGATTTCCAACATGTACAAGCGTCTAGTACGTGATAATCCAACTTGATGTGATTAATCTCATAATGCTCTGATCTGTTTTCTCAATAAATAATATACCTAGCTTATTACTAATGCGGCCGTCATCATCTTAAACTTAATTGACGAAGAAGTGAGATATCCGGGGCCAAAAGCACACATTGTTGTATTGAATCGTTCCGAAAAATTGCCTATTGTTAACTTTGTATTATATGAAGTATATTGTTACAAAACATCCAAATGTTTTATGCTTTTTTTTAAAGTTTTTCTTTCTTTTTCATTATTTTATTATTTTATTAATTTCATAGCATTTGCAGTCAAAGCTATAACTCCTGTGTTTTTCTTGTTTTTAGTGGGTGACCCCTTGTAATCTCATCGTTTTTATAGAATTAGAGATGGCTGGTCATTCAGCAGATCGTTGCAAAATTAATATCATAAATACTGCATAAGAAAAACAAGCAATGACTTTCAGCCAGCATCTCGAAGCTAAGTTACCGCACGTCGCTGATCGAATTTCGCTCTGGCACTAATACCTGTACGCTCGCCGCGTAAAGTTTTCAACTTTTGCAACAAACACCGTAAAGGTGCAACCTGTAAGCCCTACACTGTATAATATATACGATAAATATATGTATATATATTGAAAAAAGAAAGTTCCACTATATGGAGCTGAAACTTCGCACAGATGCAATAAATTAAGTCAGACACACTTATTTAGATTTTCGTAAAGAATGCTTGGGCTACCTGTCCGCTGACTCATCGCCTCTTTTCTGTTGTTGTCGTTGCTGCTGTGTTGTAAAAATTGTAATATTAATACTACAGAACAAGTATATTTAAAGCAGATTTCTATCAATTAGGGAAACAAACGAAAAATGGATGGGTCTTTGTCAATATTGTTTGGACGTTGGTCTTACTAGTTTGGTAAGTTGTAGATTTTATTACCGTGTCCAGGCCGCATGCCTGTTGCACAGATATAAAATTATAATTTTATATAATTTTATTTATTCATTTATTTATTTTTTCCACGTAGCACTTTACCAATCCCAAGAGGGTCTCAATGGGGTGGTACGCATCACAACTCACGGCTAAAAATTTGGCGATTTCACGACTCACGACTAATTTTTTCGAATCACGGTTAAGTAGATTACTTTCAGAAATTTTTAAAATACGTTTTTCATTACTTTTTCATAATTTGTTTTGTGCTACAGATAGTGAGTGTGGGAGCACAGTGTACCCGAGCTTGAACGTTGTACGGGCTTGTACGTTATAGACACTCAGTTATAATAATTTTTTATCATCACTTTCAAATGTCAAATTTTGTCCATGCCCTGACTTGTCTGTAGGACCTTGCAATTACTAACTTGTTGGTAGGTGCGATCCATTAGAATATTGAGTTTGAATTTTACAAAAAAACAAAAACAAAAAAAAATTACAAGCGCGCGCCTGGAGTTGACTGTCCTTCTGAGGGACAAAACTGAATCACGGCTCACGCTATCAAAAAATATTCACGCCTCATGGCTAATTTTCCAGTCGTTTCACGGCTCACCATTAACCGTATTGAGACCCTCGTATAAAACCTCCTTTCCAACTCAAATTCAGAAAAGAGCCTTTAGTATTGTAAATAAGGAGTGCATTTGAGTTTTAGCTTTTTATAACGTTTTCCATCCGTCTCCTTTTTCGGGCGAATTGAGTTGGAAATTCGTCGTTCAAAATGTCCGTATGAATAGACTGCGATGTTGTCCTCATTCAAATCTTGAAATTTTACAGAAATTCGGAAGAAACACACACAGCTGATTTAAAAGCGTCGAAATCAATAGTAATGACATTGCTGCATTCCGTGTCTGACATCGGAGTAACGAAATTTCATTTAGTGTCGCATTTCGCGACGATGTATTCTATGCCTGGCTAAATGTGCATGGTAAAATCGCGAAGTTTGCAGCGTATTCATTTTTCTATTTGACTCTAAACAAAATTATAGTATTTTAAAATAGAATATATTCAATGTCCGTACGTTTTCTTTTTCAAGCTTCCTGTTTCGCGAATTCCAATCTGCAAGGCGTTCCTTGCGAGTCCTTTAAGCTAAAAAGAGAAAATCACTAGAAAAAAAGAAAAGGTAGTGAAAACAGCAAAGAAAAAGACTAAATGAAAAAGAGCAAAAAAAGAAAGAATAAAAGAAAACTAGAAACAAACGCAAAAGAAACAATACGCAAGAAAAAAAAGAGAAATTCCAGCAGCAGGACTCGAACTCAGAACTTTCACTTCAGGAGAAGATGCACCCCCCGGAATACATAAGAAATAATAAAAGTAAAAATCTAAAAAGATGGGACGATTCCCCCGAGACATTCTATGAAGCTGAGGCGTCGAATCGGCTTACGTTACGGTTAGAGATTTCGGCTCTTCCACGCTATCCCGAGTGAACATAAAACTTAGTCTTAACCAAAAGGCCAGGGAGTGAGGGGGTAGCCGCCCACTAGAGCATACCTTTAGCTACCCTCTTAGACCATCGTACTATGAAGACACTTATAGATATCTAATTCTAATATCTAATTGGGGTAGTCTATTCGGTGAAGATCTATGCTAATATATGACGTCACCAAAATCCAAAGGGAGTAGCGAGCCAATCAGAGCTCAGCTCAGGAATTAGCAAACGACACAGGCTTTGCATAATCATTCTTCAGTAGATTTATTATTTGACGGGGGTGGGGTGGGATGGGTACTGAATGGTAGTTTGCGGCCGAATACCGATGTTCGGTGTAGTGTGACGGCTTTCACCAAGCTGTTCAATTGTCGTTATTGTTGTCCAAATCATCACATTTTAACAATTTTAAATTAGTTTTACGGTTCTTATATCAGACAGGCATTAGTAGTATTCGGATAAAAAACACGACAAAAATCTCTTGAAATTCTTAAGACCGATACTAGCTGTTGCCAAAGAATTGCCGGGATTCAACTAAACACAATTTAATAAGACCTCTGAAACTCCAACATTACACTCGAACATTCCACATTTCGATAAAGTTTACAAATGTATTAATATTGATTATCAAATAATTATTGAATATAAACTAGTGAATACTAATAATTGAAGCCAGAATGAATGATAATCCGTATAAATTGTATAATCAAATTAAAAATTATTTTGACTCCCAGACATATAGTCTTTCGTGACATTCAGCCCGGGAGTTCGTCCAGAGACGTGAAAAATCTAAGTGTCAAATCGATTGTATATTATGCCGAGCGGCGAAGAAGCTTTAAATTGTCAAATGAATTTGGTCAAAAGGAAGAATATCTACACCTAAATACAGTCCAAAATCAACTCCAGATTACAGCCAAATAACTGTTTCTGTTGAAACCAGACTAGGCAAAGTCACGCTCTCTTTCTCTTTTCTCTCTCTTTCTCTTTTCACGTGCTCAAAATTTCCCGCCACTTTTTAGCGTGACCTGTCACACTATCACGAGCTATAAGTCAAGAAAAGAGATCTAAACTTTTGATCGAATTTTCAGGCTACATAATGGGTCGAGTTTTTTAGAGACCTTGACCGGCTGCCGGGCATCTAGACACTGTGTTTTGAAAAATCTCCACTAAAGCTTTTATTTTTTAAATTTACCAAAAAAAATTACAAGCGCTCGCCTGGAGTTGACTGTCCTTCTGAGGGACAAAACTGAATCACGGCTCACGCTATAAAAAAAATATTCACACCTCATGGCAAATTTTTTCGCATTTTCACGACTCACGGCTAATTTTTCAGCCGTTTCACGGCTCACGGTTATCCCCATTCTTGATAAAATGTCTTTTTTCAGAAAAAACGTTTAATATCGTTATAAACATATCCTCCATGAGGTAAAGAGGTATAATATTAAAGTTTTTAATCACCATCCATCATCAATATGAAAGGCATCGCTACTAGTAACATCACTGATGCTATCATGATCAATTAATATTAATAACGATAATAATGAGTATAATTCCGATAATTACAGTTTGCAAATTTATTATAGCGATGATCAAACGAGTCTGGGCATTGATAATAACAACGATTACGCGTATGACAGCGATGGTTACAGTTTCCGCATTGTCAACAACGATAATTACACGTATGATAGTGATGATTACAGTCTRCGCATTAATAATAACGATGATTACATCCATGATGATGATTACAGTCTACGCATTGATAAGAACGATGATTGCACGCATTATAGCGATTATCAGAGTCTATGCATTGATTATAACGATGATAACATATATGATAGTGATGATTACAGTCTACGCATTGGTTATAACGATGATTGCACGTATGATAGCGATGAACTAACCTGTTCAAATAATATTAATAACGATAATAATGAGTATGATTCCGATAATTACAGTTTTCAGATTTATTATAGCGATGATCATACGAGTCTGCGCATTGATAATAATAATAATTACGCATATGACAGCGATGGTTACAGTTTCCGCATTGTCAACAACGATAATTACACGTATGATATTGATGATTAAAGTCTGCACATTTCAAATAACAGTGATTACATGCATGATATAGATGATTACAGTCTATGTATTGATTATAATGATTATAACGATGATTACACGTATGATAGTGATGATTACAGTCTACGCATTGATAATAACGATGATTACACGTAGTATGATAGTGATGATTACAGTCTGTTCATTAATAATAACGATGATTACACGTATGATAGTGATGATGGCAGTTTGTACATTGACAACAATGATGATCACACGTTTTATAGCGATGATTACAAATTTGCACATTGATAAAATAGATGATTACATTATTGACAATGATAATAGATAACGATGATAACAGCTATGACAGCGATGCTTACAGTAGTTTGAGCTTCCGCGGTGTGGTTCACGTATAAGCAGCCTGAAACGCCTTTTTGTTATGTTTTCATATTCTTATCTTTTAGTTTTGTTGTTTGTTGTTGTTGTTGTTTTTTGTAATTTAAATCAGTTTTTTACATTTGCTACAGTGTCTTCTGAAAAAGTAATAAATCAGGTATAAATAAACTTTTAGTCAGCGACAGAATTTGCTTGCAAAGTGAAAAAAAACGTAGATACCTAAAACTCCAATGAAGCTCTCTTGCTAGTTAGCAAACACTAAAGCCATGAAAAACGTTACTGTTATATTTTTCAGGCTGAAGAGCTGTTTGCGCATGTTATTGTCAAGATGGCAATAGCACATGGAAAGAAGGTCCACATCATAACACGATATATGTTGAAAAAGTGATTGTAGCAACAGGCTATTGGTATGTTTATTTCTCATTAACATCAATCACCTCATGTCTCTACTTCCCGGACGTTTCAGAGCATTCATTTTATGCTTCCTCGGTTCTAACGTGTAGTCTTTGTTTTTGAACAAAATTTGTTTGCTGATCTGTAGTATACAACTCCACTATTTCATGTGGAATTTAAGTATTTCAATCAAGATAATTAGTATGTTATGTGTTGAAACAAACTGAAAAACAAATACTTAAAAAATAAAATGGACAATCAATCTTAGGGTAACCCATGACTTMCACTGTTCACCACACGACAAATGACTAAGTAACCCTTTAATGTTTCTAAAAATACACTCAACTGATTTGAATCCTATGTTCTCACAAAAATCCTTGTGCATATCGTATTGTCAGAGTCTGTAAAACACTAGAAACAAACTAGATGAAACAAGCTCTGTGTCGTAAATCCTGTAAAAATTCTACGAAGATTTTACGATTCCAATGTACGGGATTTTTGACAACAATAACTTAAAACCAAACGTCAAGAAGAAACAACTGCCTGAGTATTTAAACATTTAACTTATCTTTACAACCAGTTTATGACTTACTATTTAGCGAAACTATGGCAAAAAATTTTTCAACTTAGAACAACGTTTCTACAATTTGCTGTAATATAATTTTTTTTTTTTCAGACAGATTTTAGACTTTGCTTGGAACTTTCGCTAAATTAATTATATCGTAAACATGCACATCTTATAAAGTGGATATATYATCAGTCTGGATAAAAATTAATAAAATTGCCAGATGTCACCAAAACGTTATSAAAACTCGAGCATTATTAGTTAGAACTACTATCGCCATAGCGACAATAAATAAATATGGCGAGTCAAATGATCTCATCATTTGCATGGCCCCTCATCTAGATTATCTTGTTTCCGAAATACAATAAACTATCTGATTTGTAACGATAACATTGTTATACTATTACTCATCTGCATACAACTTAAACAGCCTAACAAAATTAGCTTTCCGTGAATTATCGTTAATGACGGACGCTAATATTAAGAATACTACTAGATTCATTCAACCTGTGGCTGTTTTAAACACTTTCTTCTTCATCCGAGCTGAGTGCATTAAGATGAGACATATATATATATTATATAATATCCAAAAAAAAAAACAATTGGAACCTGGTTCGTTCGACTCTTATAAATATACTCATCGTGGGCGTCGAGAATATCGAATCAAGAAGAGCTTTGTGAAGGTAAGATTTAAATTATAAAAAATTTACGGTGTGTTATCTACAGTTGCTTGTTAAAAAGYGTTAAAAAAATCTCATGCTTTTAAACAGCATACAACGGCCGTAACACAGTGCTATTAAGGTGATTTTAGGTTTTTTTTAGTTGTGAACAGATTAMATTTCCAAGCTAAGACAACGAAGAGCTACCCATATAAGACATTATATTTAATAGTATTGCTACATATGACAGCAGACATCTGAAAAAAGTTCTTGGAGGATGTTTATGCAAACTACCCGTCCTAAGGTAGCTGGAGACGTTTTATAATTAGCCCCCATTCAGCAGTAGATCGCACACCCTGCAGTGAAGTCACCTACTAATTCTAGTGATCTTCAATACGGTCTAACTGTTTGTTTTGTGACTACATACAGATACTAGMGGTTTTRCCAGGATACAACACACCGTTTGAGTAATCATGGTCTTGTAACCTCTCATATATCTAATCTGTGTCCAGTTTGCCTTTCTCCTTGCGGCTGCGAGATCTTTAAATATAATCTTGATACGTGAACCAAATTACTTTGTAAGTATCATTGACTGTATTGGTTTGTAGAAGTGCGCGAGTACCGTGTTCGTTCACATTTTCATGAGCTATCTGGCTAYTGACTTGGCTTTTAAGCTTGCTGCTCCAGCCATAAAGTTATGGAGCTTATCGCACAYATGTCGGTGTTCTGTTATTATTGTCATCTCGCATAAGATTTGAACCAAATATGAATTAATTGGAGTCATGTTAAATATTTATTGAGAATGGCTAGTTGCGCTCTTCTTTGCACACCAAAATCATGCATTTTTGTGGTAAAAAAAACCTTTCCATCAAAATACTCATTAAAAGAGATCGTTAAACTATATKAAAAATTCCAGAAAAAAACAGCATAAAATTTTGGCTAGAAGGTATTTCAAACCTTTTACGATACATAAAGACTCTTGACAAACCATAGTAAAAACACATCTGCGATACATAAACTAGTTACCACAAGGTTAAGATGAAGGCTAAGATTTTTTTTAAGTCCTCTTTTTACTTGTGAAACAATTCACTTGACATCCAATACGCATGCGCAAGATCCCTAACAAAAATAAGAGAGCTATTTGGTTTCTCAGCTCAATCCAAGATGTCATTTCGTAAATCACATCTAAGACTTATGCAAATAGCGTTGTCAGTAAGAAATGCAGCTAATTTATGTTTCGGGCATTTTCATACGTGGATGCTTTGTATAAGCACATCTCCAGGGATCAGCGACGCATTGAATTATTAACATTTATAGCTTTTTAAAATTCCCTGTTCTTTAGTGATYACAAACTCAGCATCTTATCAAAGGCCTGAAGAGCGCAAAAGATAAAAGAAATCAAAGATGAAGTGGTTGACTGGAGGAATTCAGTCGGTAGTTTGGCTACTCAACGTGGTGGTCTTGCCTCATTACCCATGCGCTTCTTTGTCAAAGTAAGATGACTTTCCCAGCACGTTATTGCCGTTATTTAACACCGAATAATAGGATAAAGAATCCCTTGAAACCTTTCTGTGTAACGAKTTAGAAGTCGTTTGAGCTAAAAGGATTACTAGTGGGTCTAGTGTGTGATTTACCTTTGGCGTTCTTTGAACAAACCCATATTAAAACCTTAGTGGTACATTTTTGTAAAAACACTTAAACCTTACTTGGCTTTCAACATTACGTTTTAATATCATTGGTGTTTTTACTAGACACTTTTAAACATCTTTTTATTTGTGATGTATGGTTCATTTTTGACAAAAAAGGAATCGGGAGAAAAACAAACACCTTCCACTACTACATCATATCTCTACTTTGTATTGCAAACTTTCAGTGTTCTTCAAAGCTAATAAACACTACAGTGWTATGTATATTAAGATGGCCGGTAGATTGTCGAGATGTTGTGAGAAACTTTCATTGTCCTATTTTTGCGCTAATTCGTGACATTGAATTTTCATTGTCTTCGTTGTAAAAACCAAATTTCAACCGCATTTATTACTATTCAAGGTAGGGATGCTTATTGTTTACTATATTCCCGTAATAATCCTTCCACAATGATTCTTACTAACAGCAAGCCATGGCCGGTCATTAATCATTTAGCACTCTGCTTTTGTTTGAAGATGGATAAATTAGTTTTTTAAGCGCGCTACTTCTATTAAATACAGCGCAACGTATAAAAACGATCACCAGGCATTGTTTTTATTGACTGTACAATGAAAAACACGATCCTTCGTTAGCTTGAGCAATTGTGTTTATAGTTGACAACCAATRGAGTAACTTTTCCGTGAAGACATCATAGGGTTTTTACTTAGTATATGCAAGGGAGCGTCTTACTTRCGCACAGGTCAATAAAGTTCATTCCCACATTGTATAAATATCTTAATCCTCTGAAAATAAACTATGGCTTTGTGATTTCTCTTTCAGATTGCGCAATGCATCGGAAGCCTACCTTAATTTCAAAGATTACTACTCAAACTCAACTATTCTATTAAAAACCCTTTTGGATGGTTATGATAGAAGGATAAGACCTGGCAGCAAAGGTAATTCCATCCCTAATCTTAGACCTGATAGCGTTCCCACGTTATTAGGCTTTTAAATGTTTGCTTTACTGTGCCTTGTRAGAATACGTTTTTTKCCCGCATTGAATTAGAGAAATTCTGAATAAAAAAAGGATTATTCGTCCAATCCATTCCTATTCTATCCTCCTTTGCAATTAGGGCTTTGAAATCTCACGAAAGACAGAGATCAATTCTGTGTGGTCAGTAATCTGTTCATAATACTCGACAAAGTGCTTTTCCAGACATTTGTAAGATTTAGATATTGGTTTCTAGATTCACCAAAAGATATAACTTGAAAAGTAATAAAAACAKCTTATCACTCAATATTGTCGATTATCGTAGTTCACAACTAATCGCCTCTTATTACCACAGCCCGTTGTGTATTCTTTTCGACATAAAATCGTCACGCTTGTCACGCTACGGTCAATCAACGCACTTTATTTACAAAATATAGGTGTTCCAGCCGTGGTCGACGTAGATATGTATGTATCAAATATTTGGGCTATACAAGAAGTCAATATGGTAAGTTTCGGTRGATTTTTGTTGRTGTCTTTCTCTAAGTCTTCAAKCRCTATTACCGACAACAGCTAACATGGCTAATCATTTACGTCACTGCCAAGCTCCTCCTTTCAAAAACTATAACTARCGAACTTTRAAGTTAACTTTCGCGTTGGGATTCTTGCGATAGCATGCTAGTTAGTCTATCAGAAAAAAGATAATTAGAGAGCAGATTGCTTGTTCATATAATCCGCCTTTAAGCTTTTTTCCCCAATGAAAATGATTTTCTCCTAATCCTGTCAGGTTCTAAAAAATAATAATTATGCCATAAAATCCTTTTGTCAAAATAATCCTTAACAACATATTTGACGTTATTTGTCACGATTTAAAATCCTGCCAACACACTCGGAGAACGCATTTGATTTTTAATATGGTGGGAACTAGCGGTAAACTAGTGTGAGCTGCGTCGGTGTTTCTAAAGAAACAGTTATGTAAAAAGATAAATTTAACACCGTAAAAAAGTATGTGGAAAAACTTACTGACGTTTCGGATGTTAATCCTTCGTCGGAGTAAAGATGATTTTTAATAGCATTATCAAATATCTTTTTGTACTGAATAACTTGTACTTCAYAGGACTTTACAATTGATATATATTTACGCCAATATTGGAAAGACGAAAGACTGAGTTATGAGGATTTTTCCACGGAAAGAATGCTGACATTGAGTAGCGATATCAATAAGCAAATATGGGTGCCTAGCACCTACTTCGTAGGAACTAAGAAAGCTTATTTTCATGATGTCACAACCGATAATTACCTCCTTCAAGTCAAGCCTGATGGAAGCCTGTTCTATAGCATAAGGTCTCACAGTTTTAAAAATAGATATTTTAAAATGTTTTAACATTAAAATGATTGAGTTATGTATGATATTTGAGTTGATTATAGTTTGCTAGATAATTCAAGTTGCTTGTCTGATTGGTGGGTAGGTTAAGAATAGTTGRCTAGTTTTTTTATGATTTKTTGTTTTGTGGCTTGGTAGGTGTTGTCGGTTGTTTGGCTGGTGAGGTGGTTGGTTGTTTAATGGGTGAGACGTTTGGTTGGTGGTTCGTTTGGTATGGTTGGTTGGTGCAGGGCGACTTTGTTCGTTGGTGGTTGAATCGTTTGGTTGGTTGGTGGTTCATTTTGTTTGTAAGTTGGTAGGCTGCTTGTTGGTTTTGTTGGGGTGGGGTGGGGGCAGTTGTTTGGTTGATGGATTGTTTGGTTGGTGGGTAGGTTGTGTGGTTGTTTGATTGATGTGTTGGTAGGTAGAATGGTTGTTTAGAGGGTGGATTGACATGTTGCATTTGTTTTAATGTCTGTATAAGTTAGGAAACAGTGTAGAATGCCGGTCAATATCAATTAATGTTGGATTATGTGATGAGYTTTTCTCCGTATTTTTGCGACACAGATTAACAATAACAACATCKTGTCAAATGGATCTCAGGGATTTTCCACATGATACTCAAGAATGTACACTTGCACTAGAAAGCTGTAAGTTTTTTGCCAATTCATTAATTATTAGATATTTAAAGTTACTAATTACGTCCTATTGCACAGCTCAGTATGAAACCTGTATAACTCACATATCTGACACCACAGCAGGAGTTCWTGCATTTACTAATTGAAAATTTGTTGAATACTATCGTTGATCGCATCAATGTAAATATCGATATCAGTTATCAGTTCTCAGTTATATGACTATGTATAAAATTCTCCATGGTACCATTATCTGATTAATGATAATCTTTCTTATCGCCTGTCTTAAGTGGATAACTCAGTTCCTACCTATAAATGACCKAACTAAGTAAATTAACAATAAATASAAAACCCCACACACTATAATAGGAACAGCTAGAGGGACTTGCGTATGGACAAACAGAAATCCTGTTATCTTATCATGGAATTTATCAGCGCTATTATAATTTTCTCTTGAATATTCTTTTTTCATTGTGTAAGTTTGTTTTTAACCATGATTGTTTTGAATTTACTAGCATCAATTATTCATCCTTAATTATCATTATGCCAGGGATACTGAAAACCCCATTTTAGAAGAGCTATATTCACGTTAGTTATGTTGGTTTTACAAAGGGTCAGCAGCTAAAATAAAGGAAAGATTTTAATAAAAACAACTTGCGCATTTCGGTATTTTGGTTTTAGAAAATATCACATGTTTTTTATACAAGACTAAAACTGGATTTCAATGATTGATGTTATTTTTTTAATATTATTTTACTGAATCAAAACTCATTGAAATCACTGATTTCCTATTTTGTTTTAACCAACATTTCATTTTATTCAACAAGGCTGAAACCTAAGTGACTATATTTTGTTATTTAGATGGCTACCAGGCAACAGATGTGCTTTACGCATGGAATAATCGTGTTGATAACACTTCAGCTATATATCTACAAGATGATCTCGAACTACCACAGTTTGAAGTAGTTGGTGTGACGAAAATTGCTAAAATGAACATGTACAACATAGGTAAACATAACCAAACATTTTAGCAAACAAAATTATCGAAATTCAAACACCATTCTTCAAAAATATATATATTTTTTATTTAAAGGCTTTTTTAAAAGGTTTATAGCCAACSGACATGCACCGCGGTCGTGCGATTTTGTAATCGCTCGTTTGATTTCACATAAATTTACACTCAACTCATTGCATTAAATAAGACTAACCAGAAAATAGCAACTCTCATGTCCCAGAAGACTGGTATGTCGTATATTTTACAGTTCTAAAACTCGTACCCAGTCGACAAGTCAAACACGATGGCCACTAATTCACCATTGTTTATTGGTTCTACTCAGGTCCRCATTCAGCTCTTGTAGCAACCTTCAAGATGAAGCGTAGAATTGGTTACTTTCTTATCGATACTTACATCCCATCGACCATCATTGTCATTATCAGCTGGATATCATTTTGGATCGACCCTGAGACAGCCCCTGCACGGGTAGCATTAGGGATTACTACTGTATTAACCATGACCACCTTGATATCGAGTGCACGTGCTAACCTACCTAAAGTGAGCTATGTCAAAGCTATAGACTGGTATCTCTTACTTTGCCTTATTTTCGTGTTTGGATCTATACTTGAATACACTTGCGTTACGTTTTTTATTGCAAAGAGAAAACGCGCTCAAAAAAGACTGGAAATCTTGAGAGCAACAAGAWGCTTGCCAAAGAATAAGGTAAGTCTGAAGAAATATTTTGCTCAACTCTGATGCAAGTAATAAGGTTTAATTCACTGAAAAAGTCGAGTGGATTTCGAGTTGATATCAGATTGTCTGAAACCGCATAGTAGCATCCACCAATCTGTAGGACAAATTTTGAATGTCAAGGGTAGAAATATAAAAGTTATTTTTTCACTTCTGTAGTTTCCATTGTATTAACGTCGACGCCGACGGTGGTCTATCACAAATAGACCACAGTTTGATAGCCAATAAGAATGCTGGATTCGTAATAGACTTTAGTTTGGGGGATATCAAGAAGTTTATGTATATAATCTCCAAAACCAACTGAAACCACAAATCTCTCTGTCCGAAATTTCCATATAAAATATCACAATTTCTAAGATTGTACTCTGTGATTTTACGTATTTTAAACTGTCTACCACTTTTGCAGGAGCCAATAGATATAGAAAGACCTTTTGGATCCGATGTCCTCACATACAGAGTCCAAAATAAAAATGGCACGAAAACGGATGTTTTGAATAAGYTATTTGGRCGAGGAGAGCTGGAACAATTGAAGGCTGAGACTGATAGGCATCGTAATTCCATCAGAAATGCTGAGGGGAGCTTTGCCTTGCGAGTAAATCCCGCGATAATTGACAGTAGCTCTCGCCTACTCTTTCCTTTATCGTTTTTTGCATTCAACGTTGTTTATTGGATGGTGTATGGAACATCGTGACTCGAGAAGCAGATGTGTCTGAAAAGAAATATCATGCCTGAAAAATGTTCAATTCTCGGAATGCAAGTTACGTCATCACCGCGCCATGTTCGATGAAGATCACAAAGCATTCCTGAATAATTTCTCTTGTTCATTCATCCAACATGGCGGCGATAGCTTTGTTCTTTATTTCTCAGGGGATTCCTGGTCATGTGGTTACACACAAAAATTGGAATAACACGTTTGCTGAGTAGTACACTCTACTCTACCATTACGGCATTCGGAGATCACGTGAGATTGCACAACTTGACATCTCATAGTTTGCTCATAGTGCCCGCAATTGCGTAACGAGGACATTGGAATATGGAGGGGAGAACACACTAAWAGACATGGGAAATTCAGACGCTTCTTGTAATCTTTTGTTTTTGTGTATAAATTTATTAGACAAAGCCTCAAATTCCCCTATCCCCGCCTCCTTATCCCAATCCGATGCTATGCTACTGTGCATTACCAAAAAATTTTTACCGATCTTAACAGATTAGAGCCGAATCACCCAGGAGACATTTGTACAAAGTGTGGATCCACTACACTATACAATCGGCGTTGAAAAAATCCTTGGACCATTCCAGCAAATTTCCTCAATTTAAGCAACACCCATAGACAATTAAATCCCCCATAACCCACTAAATGCAATGTTATCATTGATCATGTTACCATAGTACACAAGCATCCAAAACAAGACCCTACATTAATGAAAGGGGACAAAGGGGAAGAACTTTGAAAAAATAAAGGAGAAAAATGTTAGACTGGAGGCAAATTATTATATGGTTCAAGATTTTTTTAACGACGATAATAGATTTTGTAGATTTTATAGATGTAGATTTTGCTTGGGTTTTAATCCAGTGGATCAGTATTAACTCTAGTCACTCCTCGCACAAACAGCTCCTGTCAAAAATCTAAGAAAGTCTAAAGCATGCTATTTGTAAATAATATACTGGAAAACTGTATAGGGTAAAAGAATAAATAAGGTGACATTCTAAAGTAAAACATTTATTTTTATACGAAAGAAACTAATCAGAGGAAAGAAGTAGGTCAGGTTAAGGGTTATATACGTTGCGAATGTTAACTTACGAACTTCTTGTATCTATACGCTAACTAAAATGAATAAAATAATGTGAATGCTAATGGCGGCTAGAGTGAGTGAAATGAGGCTTTGGCATCGTTCGCACTGATACGTTTTTCGCAGCGTTTTTTATAGTTTTTTTTTATTTCCAAGGCCAATTAAACGCAACTGGTATAAAAACGCATCTRTATGGACGATGTCTCAGCCAAAAGGTTCTCATTTTCTCTTTTTTTCTCACTTAAATTTAAAAACCCCAGAGCCAAACCGTTTGRAAAAGTTTTTGGAATCATTTCATTCCTTCTATACATTATGGAGGAAAACAAGTATTTCAAGAGTATTAGTTAGTAATTGTATAATGACATAGAAGTAAATTATTTATTTCAAACTTGCATTGCTACACCTTTCCACKGTGAGCGACGATAACCCCATCCACAGTAATGCTCCGCAGGGGCATACAAACTTTGCAATATATTATACGTTTTTTTCTACAAACTTAGKRCCAGCCTTTGACCAGAACACCAAGCAAATGTACATTTTCCAACACTTTCTTCCTGGTAATGGTGCATTAAAAAAACAGGCCAGGCGGAACTTGTTACATCTAAGTTTTCTTTATTATCTTATTACTGCCTTGAATACCATGTGACCAGGACTGCTAATTGAACTGGAAACTGAATAATGTATATAGTAAAACTTTCCAGACGKGTATCATATGTAACCACTTTGCGACCGAGACGATATTAGTGCTAGAATCGATATGGGTTCCATAATGCATGTAATGACGACATAMGTTTCCAGTCTCTTCAGCACAAGAATACACAGGAATCCTGTTCCTGATATGGAACGACTTGAGAAGGACAATATGCTATACCAGACGATCAATAATGTTYCTATTACCCAGCATCCTATTCCAACAGCATTGATGCTTGTATTAGCGTCATGTATTCTCCATSTCGAAAGCTATAAATAATTATTTCTGGACTATGTACAATAGCTTCCTTGATATGGCTTGATATACAGTATATATGTTGATACAAGGCTCTCATAGGCCTTTAGGTGCATTAATAAAAGAGTCTGTCATATAAATAACTTATTAAAACTTTTACCATATAAATTGCAAATGTAATTGTCCTATGGCATAATTACGTCACATCAAAACATGCTATAAGGATTATGGTCGATTAAGGAGGACAGAATGACTGTATATCAAATGAAAATGTACATGAACAATCATTTATGCATGGTATATATCAAAACTAGATGCAATTGAGAGAGAGAAATTTTAACTGTTTCTTAGCATCCTACTTTAAACCTACTGTGACGTCATTATGCAATAGGGCAATTTATTTATTTTTTTTCTTGCGCGTACCAAATGTTGGTTTAGTATTTTCTTGTAAAGTGTCAGACCCTGTCAAATTAATCCGCATATCGCTTTACATGATTGTAGACCGGGATCACCAGGTATTTAATTCATGCAAATTAATTCCTGTATCGATGCTTTTGGGTCAACAATAAAAAACATGCTAATTCCTTTAAAAAATAATTCTATCAGGAGCATAGACGATCCAATATACAGACGTGAGTATAGCAAAGGTTACTGGGAACCCTATTCGTGCATAACGATCAACGCAGTACGCACGCTCAGATGATAAAAAGGCCGCCTGTCCATAGGGATCCCATACATAGTAAGGYTTAGCCTGACCATTTTGTGTCGTCGTCTCATTGTCCTCGGTATAACTGTTACGAACTTCCTGTTGACGAAAATAAAAWGCGACGTAAGTACGTGTATTTACTTGTACAAACTTGTTTGTTTGGTGTTTGGTTGTTTGGTTGGTTAGCTGATTGGTTAGTTGGATGGTTGGTTGGTTGGTTGTTTAGTTGTTGGTTGGTTGGTTAGCTGATTGGTTAGTTGGATGGTCGCTCGGTCGATCGCTCGGTCGTTCGGTCGGTCGGTTGGTTGGTTGGTTAAAATATATACTTACCTTTGTTTTGACCGTTTTCGGTTTAGAATTCCTTTTATAAAGATCTGTACTTCGTAAAAAAGGGTTCTTTCCGTCTCTAAAAAGATTTGTATTAAATGTTGTTAACTCATTGACTGAAATACACAGTACACCATATATACGCTTTTTAAAAGTCCGTGAAACCGATATTAAACAAAGGAATAAGTAGCGTTTATTTTGCACTGTTGATTTTTCACGGATTTAACTGAGTTTACCCTATTGTTACCCTAGTTTGTTCTGCTATGACTATTAAAGCCGACTGACTTGTTATCTTGACTATCATTTGTGGCCTACGTCCTACATACGACATCATCTCCAAAACAAAAAGCCAAGACCTCGACTGAAATCAGCCTTGATGATCCAAGAATGGGTACATATTAGATTAATATATGATATTTTTCTTTAGGGAATTCTAATTGTTATGTTATCCAGGCTGTCAGGTGATACTACAATGGTTGACATGCTTATATTACTTACATAACTACCGCTGTTAAAGACCTAAATGGTGCTTGGTTGTCATCTGTTCTAGATTCTTCGTTACCATCTTGTAGAGTTTCCTCATCTTCATTGACTGAATCGGATTCTTCATTACCGATACTAAAATTCATCCATTCTTTTCTCATTTTGTTTGAAAGCTAAAAGAAAAAAATTAAATATTGTGAAGAATAATTAACGTAGTGCTTTAGCACACAGAATTCGTCTGAATTTTTCTTTGGATGGATTAATGGAAAATTATTTGATGATGTGAAAAAAATCTAGTTAGGGAAAGCTTTGGGAATACCCCTAAAAGCAGGGGGATCATGAGAATTGAGTTAAGGGTAGAAATCGCGATATACTAGAGGGAGAACTCGAGAAATTATGGATACAAGACAAAATTTTACAATATTATACAAAGGGTTAAAGGGGTTTTTATATATTTTGTACCCCCGTTGGTTGATATTTCAAAATCAAATTTACCTCATTTATTCTGTCCTGTTTTTTCTTTTGTACTTCRCAAGCATAAAAGTTAACAATGGCGTATTCCATTAAAGCTCCAAACACGTACACAAGACACATCAACAAGAACCAATCAATGGCTTTAGTATAGGAAACTTTAGGCAACGGYGCACGCGCACTATTGGATATAGTAATCATTGTTAAGACTGTAGTGATTCCCAGGCCTACRCGGGCTGGTGGAGAATCAGGAGATATCCAGAAGGAGAACCAAGAGATTGTCACRGTTAACATTGAGGGAATGTAAGTCTGAATCATGTAATAACCAAGTCGACGATGAAACGTGAACCTGGCCGCTAGTGCTGAATGAGGACCTTTAMAAATTAAAACAAATAACAATTATATAACAATAATATTTTATTATAACAATTAGGATTGCATTCTGTTAACAGTTACCTTTTTTACCGACAAAGTTTTGCATTATTTAAAAAGTATCATTAAAGTTATCGCATCATGCATATATGGAAGGAAAGGGATATTGGCCGCCATTTTGAATTTCCGAAGTTCAAAGTACCAGCGCTTATTAAACTCTCATATTGCCATACTAATAATACCAATGCTTACCGATATTATAGATATTTGTTTTTTCCTCTAATTCAACGTTGGTAATCTTAAATTGRGGCATCTCTAAATCTTCAGCTATATACACAACATCTCCTGTCGAGTTTCTAGAGTTCCATCTGTAAAAGACATCCGTTGCTTGATAGCCATCTAAAGTAACAATGGAATGAAAAGGGCTTGAATTAAGGCCGATCTATAGCTGTTGTATGAGCCTGTTCATCTTGATACAGCTGCTTACGCAGGGACGACAGGGGGGGTTTCAGCCCGTGGTGAGATTGGATTACCCCCGTGGTGATCCGTGGGGAAATGTGTGTCTTGGAAGGGGGAGGGGAGGGAGGATGTATTCTATGAGGCAATAGCTTACATGATTCGACAGACATTTCACATTTTTGAACATCATGTGGAAATTGCTGCAATGTGAGCTTGCACGCCATTGTTATCGTCAACCTAAAAATAAACAAATGCAATTGTACTCGAAGAAGCTCTTCTTTTTGGTCTGTTTCGTTATTTTTTACTTTGCTTTTTTTTCATTCTGTTTCGTTTCGTTTTGACCTATTTTGCATTTTGTTTTGTTTCTTCTGGTTTTGCATTATTTCGTTTTGTTTTGCATGATTCGATTTTCTCGTTTCGTTCAGTTTCCAGTCTTTTTTCGCTTTATTCTATCTTGTCTCATGTTGATTTTACTTACCTAACACTGTAAAATACTTCTCCATTAGGTTGAATCATTAGAAGATAGTTTTCCGTGGTTACGTCATGAAAGTAAGCTTTTTTGGCGTTAAAGAAGTAAGTACTAGGAATCCATATCTCGTCGATGGTCTGTCTATTTAACGTTAATACTTCCTTGTTAAGAATCGAACCGTCAAAGGTCAGCCGTGGATCTCTCCAGTATTGACGAAGGTATATGTCCATCGTATAGTCCTAAACAATATCAAGATTCAGGACGGGCGCACTAAGGTCGAAGTAGCTTTATGCCCTACACTTCCCATAAATATGTCAGATAATCATGCATCAAAACGAATAGTCTCCTTCACGGTTCCCAGCGCCATCTTAAAAGGTAGCCGTGCCTTACATTGAAGCGTTCAATGATAGAGTGCACGCCACATAAGCATGAAACAATGCTTACCTAATTAGCGCCTAACAAGATTTAGTTATCAACTAACTAAGAATTTAGTGAGGCATAAACAAAGACAAGTTTCCTTTCTGGCATTGTGTTCATGCCCCAGTGAATTCTTAGTTAGTTGATAACTAAATCTTATGAAATGTTGATAGTTAAGAATTGTTTCATGCTTTTTTGCGTTCAATGATAGATACCTGTGAATAATTGTCTGCAGGTGTGAAAAAAAGGCTCTAGTATTGCACACTTTGCACGCTCAACGTTTGCTTCGCTTCGATGCCAAGGCAAGCTACCTTTCAAGATGGCAAGAGAAACGTGAAGGAGACTATCTTGTTTTCTCACCATTCTTGCTTCTTCAATAGCCCAGATATTCGATATAAACAGATCAACACGAACTTCTAAAGGCCAAACTATCAAAAAAGAAATTACATCAAGATAAGTATAATATAAACTAAAAGATACTGGACTAGCTGGTGGTGAGAATTTTTTTAATACCGTTCAATTGATAGTTTAATGCAATAACGACATATATACCTCCTGTAAAGGGACGAATTCGCTTGTCATAATTTGTAAGTAAACTTTCTACCAGTTTAGACTTGTTTCTTGCTATCTCTCGCCACGACGGAGGCAATGGACGTCTGCAATGAATTCAAACATTGTTATATACAATTTSTGCAGCAATCGCTCTCCCCCTGGGTGCACTCTGATTGATTAAGAAGCGTGTTCCGATAGGCAATGTTTAACGACGGTTTCACTAAAAAAATATAGTAAATATAGTCCTCGTTCTTGTTTACTGATCTGTTTTTGTRTTTTCTTTGCAAAAATTCAAGGTAATTTTGCCATTTCTATCATGTCTATATTAGCGAACATGAAATAGTGAGGGGATCGCGTCTTCCATCATGCTTTGCTGTACAAAATGGAGTCACCGGTAAACGCGCGAAGCCAGATTATGAAAATTTTAATACGTTTTAAAACTTTAAAATAGAGCGAAACACAGCACTAGAGAATGTTGAAGATTGCGCTTCCTACGCTCGAGATTTTTACTTTTAGAGAACACGCAGAAAGGCTCGTTCTAAATCAATTTTTTTTCAATTTTCCCGAGGCAACTCTCGGTCTTTAGACTTGCGTCGTTAAATTTAAATAGCAAAGACAAAAATACAATAAATACAATAAATACTAATTAAAAAAAAACATCTATAAAAGAAGACAAAACCTCTGGGACCAGGATAATGACATCATCCCTTTTCCCAGTACAAAAGCGTTCGCCATCTTTGATGGATGTTAAGAGTAGCCTGGGGACTTATAATACACAGCTATAATTAAAACGTTTACGGGCTCTCCATTCYAATGGCTGAGGTTACACTATGCCATATCAGCCATGTTGGATGAAGATAACATGGCGGACGGGATGTTCGTTATTTCTTAGGGATTTTCAAGTAATGTGGTTGCACACTAAGCTCTGAATAAGTAATACTTACGATTGCGACAAACGCATTTTAATGAGAAATACTCGTAATGATTAGAACTTTGCCTCGAGCGCTAACTACATGTAAGTAAAACCGTATTTTACCCTAAACGATTTGAAAAGGAAGCTTATTCGTAGTGCTCTGCTATTGGAGCTGCGCCGTTCGACAGGTGAAACACTAGGTAGCTTCCAGGTTGTCTTTTGTTTTGCTGTACAGAACAGTACCTCAACATTCCCCAAAATTGACCTCTATTAGCCAAGGCATGCAGTCATGGTCCTATGACGCGTATTCGTCGTTTTAGTGATCATTAGAGGATTGCTTTGATAGCATCCCGTGGATAGAAATCAATATGACTTTCATGCCGCTCGGCTTGATGCTAAAAGTCAACATCAATTTTAAACGAATTTGGATATGCGCTTAGCAGGTCGTCGTAAAACGAAAGCTGTGGCAGTCAAAATATCTCTATAGAACAATATTTCAGCACCTTATGAACTCACAGCTACATTTTGGAATATGGTATTAAAAAAAAGATTGGATCAAGTTTAACGTGATAATCCTGCTGTACGATGCCGACCGACTTTTTAAAAGTGTTTTTTTTCTTTACTTGTTGAGGTTTAAACAATGAAGAAAGAGTCGAATCTTTTTATTAAAAGCAGGCTTTCAGTTACATAGTGCCACGAGTAAAGATGATGAAAAACTACAATCTAGACTACTAACCAGCTATCTCTGGCATATCAGAGACTGAGTGTGAGATTTCAATGTATTAATCGGTGTCTTATGATACTACTGTTGTCTTAAGACGACTAACGATACAATGTGCTCTTAAAAACGATGAAAAATCAATACAATAATCAACTCTTTTTGCTGCCATTGCCATTCGTTTTTACTATACATAAAAAACATTCCAAACCAGATAAATTGTAGAAAGATCACATTTATAATCAGAACTAGTCAGAATAGATATAAATGTTTCAAATAAATGTAAAAATCAGTATTAAAATGACAACGTGATACCAACGTAGGAATGTTTGCACAACAGCAATCATACAGCGAATTTTATGAAATATTACCGCGTATATTGGATGCTAGCTACAAATTCTTTTGTGTGGAATTAATATATGAATATTTTGTTAAAAAGTACTCATTTTGCTACATATTCAGTGGAGAGTTATTGCGAACTGAATTGGTCCAAAATATATATGCATGCGTTTTGGCAAAAAGGGTTTCATGAGGAGGAAGCGACCTGTATGGTGCTCATCGCATGCTTTGACAAAAGTCCTGTTGATAGAACTTTCCAGAGRAAAGTGCACTGTTGCAGCTAGGATTAATTAAGACGATTTAGCTTTTCATGGGATTATGTCTTAATAATTAGCTCAATTTTTGGATTATAAAAAGATATGGGTATTTTAAGCATCATAGTAATTGATGTTGGAAAGCCATCTAAAATCAGAGGACCTATACCACACTAGTCGGAATGTGAATGGAAAATTATTGACATTCTTAGAATAAATACCTGTTTGTCGTCTTTTTCATCGTTCTTTCTTTTGYATAAAACATTAAAATTGAATATCTTTATATTTACCTTTTTTACTTTGTTTCTTATTTATTTGGTTTGCTTTTTTTGTATGACTTTTTGCAGTTTTCTATCGCTTTTCAGAAACAAAGAAGAGCAAAATGAACAAAAATTGACACGAAAAAAAAAGATTGATTCAATTTTGTATGTGAATTTTTAGTCGTTTTTATTTCATAAATTTTGAATCATTCGCATTTTGAGTTTGAATATTTCAATACTTATAGACAGGCACTCATATAAACACATAAAAACCTAAATATGTTAACCTCATTAAATAAATAAATGAATRTTTTCTTCCATAACGAATCGAGCACCGAATAACAATAATAAACATTCATCTCCGTCGTTTATGAGACTTTTATATTCTTATATATAACCAGGTTTACTGCGTTTATATTTTTGTACAAGGGCGGGGCCACAGTCACTAATGGTCGCTTGTGAAGATACAAAAAAAAATCTGAGGTATTTTATCGGAGTACTTATCTAGCCCTAAAGTAGAACCCTGGAGAACACTGATTTTATCACAAAGTTGTTCAGAAACTGTTTAATAACAATTAAATTCCATAACAAAAAGATAAAACTCACATCACCTTTTGAATTTTGAAATTCAAGATTTTGTTTTGGCCTTGAGTAATGTGATCTTCTTTAGAAGTTTACTTTTCAGTAGAAATGTATTATAAACAGTCTATCTCAAATCTCAATGGCACTTGTAATTCACATATTTTTCTTAGATTGTTTTATATTCTATTTCTTATTATATTTTGGTGTTTAATCCAGTTCWGATGATTTATTTGTAACTGCAAATTTAATGTTGGGCTTTGCATTTTTTCCAATGCAAATGTTATTTGGSTTTTCGCAGCCAGTGGTCATATCATTTCACTCAACTGTTGTTTATGAAGAATCAATTTCATCAATCACTAAAACTGATTACTGCAAACTTCGAGAAAATATCWTTCGGTTGTATAAAATGAAAAAAGCGCTCATTAGAAATATTAGTATTCTTTAGCTATGATGAGATGTATTGGACATTGTTGACATACAGGTGCAAAAGATACTGGGATCAAATTCAACGCGACAAAAAAAACATCAAAAGTCACAATACCCGATGTATTGACAAAGACGTCAATAGAAAAGMCGTCCAATCTATCATGTTTAAGATCCTTTTTATATTTATTATTTCTGTTTATTTTGATATAATAGCGGCTAAAGTTGAAGTAGCACTCAATTAAACGCTGTAACAATGCCGGGGAATTGTATATTAGATCAATGAAAAATCTACAAAACYAAGCGCCACTCATTTAAAAGTATTATTACGGTAGTTTAAATGTGGAAGGTTTTCATTTACAATTATTAACTAAAAGCATGACTTACGTTGCATTTTTGTGCTGTAGCGGTTCGTYGGTGATGTTGACCGAGAGTCTGGGTTGACGATGTGATGTGTAGTTTGTAGTATTATTACCTACAACGCCAGATAATAAAGACACAAGACATGCTAGCCAACATAGGGCATAAGATTTCCCCATTGATTAACCTAAAAAAAGAAGCAAAAAAAAACTCAGTTTTCACTGTATAATCAATAACAAGAGCAAAGATGAGAATACACTTAGTACCACAGTAAATAATAATACAATTTTTTTTTGCAAAAAGGTGGTGTTTTGGAGAGCTCTTCTAATATACACAGGATCCATATGTTTACAATGTGTATATTCATTTATACCTTGATACGTTTGCCGCTCCTGTCACATATGTTTCGTGAAAAAAGGTCCAAATGACGACGGCTGATGGTCGATGGTCTCTTGTGCCGTACAATAACTAAACGACCGATTTCGTTATGTTAATTATCACCCATCGAGGCAGTATACGGTATATGTTGAATCTAGTAAGTGATGCCACTTGCTCGAGACTGGATAACTATATTTATACCGGCGGTTCGTTTTGGTTTAGCAATGTTTTATTAATTTCCTTCTATTATTTAATCCAGACCTATATTATAATGGTATTTCCATTTCAATAACATTTCAGTCTATCAATAAACAGATGTAGATAACGCGAGGTATATACATGGCAACTGAAAACAGCCCCGTTGTAAAACTATTAATTGGCTTCACAATAAGGGGTATGGTATACTGAAAGGATTTCGCTGTACTTTTCTAACTCAACAAGAAATGAGATCAATTAATACTCCTAAATTCACGTTTTGTTTTATTACAAAAAATACTTGCCGTAAATAAGGCAGTTATTACTCTTTTCTAACGAAAAACAAATTACGCACACATCTGCAAACACCGAGAAATCTTCACAGTTTGCCGACTTGTGATTGTGGTCGTTCTAGGAGTTTTAAGTATTAAGATTTCTTATAAGATTTTTCATCAGTGAAGCTATAGGAAAAACCTTCCAGCAAACAGTTCCTTGCTGTGAATGTGTTATTAATTGATTATTATTATATTTCTCTCTTTTGTTACTGGTTCCCTTAGCACGCAACTCGCTTTATACGCAAATGTTTCTTTATATACAAATTCTCTACCTTTTCATGCCTAACACATGATTAGAAATACATTTGCTCTTTTTTGTTCTGTTCGTTTTTATTTTAACACGAATCAAACGGGTAAATTTTCGTGTCAGTACTTTATTGTTATTGTTATTTATACACAAAGCCATCAGCTTAGACTGACGCAAATTGAAAGGAAAATTTAAAAAGGAGACATTCTCTGACAATTAATATGATCATACAATCTGAATGGCTTTTTGTTCTAGTAGAATAACTTTACATTTGACCAATTTATGCATAAGAAACTTAGTAAATCGAATTGTAAAAAATCCAATCATGTTTCGCTTGTACAGCTATTTCAAGGTTGCGGAGAGCTGAAAATGCAATTAGATCGTATTAACAAGTTGATCAATCAAAGGCTGTCTTTTCGCGGGATTTGATTTACAATGAATACCCGTCGATTCAAATTCAACCAATCATTTCAATCCAATCAAAAGTCTCATTAATCATTAATGAACTATTAGGTTTATCAATGGCCTCTATAATTCGCATAGCGGAAAACCCAAAACTGTAGTTTCAAGTCGAGTCGATGATGTCCACCCTCGCCTCGACCTGAAGGTATTGTTTAAGATTAAAAAGAAAATTATCGGAAACCTTTTCAACGTTAAGCCAGCGCTCTCGATATYAACTTAATTCAATGCCGTTAACGTTAATGCTGTATTCCTAAGATAAAAAGTTATATATTAACCTATAATCGTTTATRTTTTTAATCAGCTATCCACAAAAGATGAAATGAAAAGAAGAGGGGGTACGATTTACAGCGGCGCCATTTTCTAGAACAAAGCATGATGGGAAATGTCCGATAACATAATTTCCAAAAAGTTTGTGCTATTTTCTGTTTCCTTTATAGAAATGGTAAAATAACTTGAACAGTCTAGAAAGATTTTCTAGCATGTAAAGAATTTTTTCATAAATCCTTATTTTAAACCAACATAATAAGCGTGAGGGCTAAATTTACCATCACGGCTTTTCGCTACAAAATGGCGTCGCTGAACATTTGCCTGTTTGCATACATTAAAACATTATTGAGAAGTAAATTCTTTACTAAGTCAAAAGGGAGAATTCAGTTTAATTTTTTTATTTTCCTCATGGCAACATTTTGGCGAGTTCGTTGTACGGCTGTAGAATGGCCATTTATTCGCGTGAAAAATTATTATTGTCCTTATTTCAGATATTTAAACTCTATTAAGAAGTAAATACTCTTCTTTGCAGAACCATGACGTGACCAAAATACCATGYGTTTCGTTAATTTTGCACACAGTCATGATCTCAGTACGTATAAAAGGATTTGTTATAAACACCGAGAACTCATTTCTATTCCCACAGACTAATTTCACAAGGACTATTGCTACAAGACAGTGTACAAGACACTCCTCTTACTGATCTTTTCGTTATCTCGAAGTCTTATCATAGCTACTTTTTATAAATGGAAAGAATGCTTCTATTCCTGAATTAACGATTGGTTTATAATATATATTTTAACACACTGTAATGCTGAAGAAGACCTGGTATACCTTTGAGGTATTTCTCTCCACATACCAGCGATCAAAATTAATGATTATAATATATTCGTAACGAGAAGAAAAACCTTTCTAGCTCGCAGTAAGTGGTATTTTTTGATGATATATTTTCTAAACTAGTGACAGAACTAACCTCATATTTGTTCCCTTGCATCTCTTTCACATCGTTTTTKATTTAGTGGAAATTCCTTCCTTCACTCCTCTGTCATCCGTTCCGAACGGTTAGTTGTGGCACAACTAAGCAACTCGAYAGAAATTACTTTATAGCAATACTGAATGGAAGTGTTTTAAAGCGCTTGAGACCAAACAATCTTACAGTGTGTAAAACCGAAGCAAATAACTTTTGTTTGCATGGGAGAAAATTATAAATAAAAATTCCATTGTTTTCCTTCAAGCTATAGTCAAATGATGAATTACTTTAGTCGCTTCAATATGTCTATTTCGCTGTATAGGACCGTGAGGTGATTACTTCTAATAATATATAAGCYTTTACAACAGTAGTTTCTTTCATAAAAATCGATATGGATTTTTATCAGTATTGTAATCACTTGGAAAGACTTTCGATTCATTTATTTTCAATATCATTCATGTTTTGTTTGCTGTAGTTTATAACACAGACAACAATAAATAGATGCGGGAATTCCTCTTGATTATCAACAAATCCTGTAGATAAAATTTGACGCTGAAACTTCTTTCAATAAATCGATTTTAATTAAAAAATCTTCAAAATTATTCGTCCAAGTAAACATCAGTTTATTGTTTATTTTTTTGACGGTGCTTTGAAAATATTTAAAAGTGCATTAAGAATGCCCAGGAAAGGGTATAAGTTACGGTGAACAACTCACAAGTACGTGCCCACATCTCATATCGAATCAATAACACAGGTATAAAGATTTTTCATAACGTATTCAGACTAATTTATGGTCAGTTTGTGTGCATTTATCGAGACCAAAGCACGGTTAATCTTTGAATTCTTCCGTTGACTGATACTGTAAACACAAATGAACTTCTTGGTACTTTTTGTGCTTAAACGACGTGAAACGCGCGTCAAAATTGTTTTTCTCATTGTGCATGATGCGCCTTAGTTTATCTAAAAACTCTTTACCTTCGCTTCCCGAYCATTGAGAGCCAGATAATACAACAGCAAACGACGACAATGCCAAATTCTTTTTAAGCGAATTGTTGATTAAAAATACACAGTCGATTCATTTGTTTTGCCGGGTGATCATGATCGATAGGACACGGTGAATTCGAAGGTCAAATGCATGCGTTACACCTGTTTTSACCACCTACTGGTCGGGTATACGCTTTTGTGCTTGCAATGACAGCGAACCAAGCAACTCTTGTCTTAACACTTTTAACCATCACAAACACACTTTTTAAATATTTTGGTGATTATAATGAGTGAGAAAAAAATAGTAAAACACGCTGAGASTCTAGTTCTTTGAAGACGCGACCACAAACTCTTCGTATTATCAGTGAGCGCACAGTTTAACGATTGAAGGGTAAACAAAAACATGAAAAATTCCGATGAGATGCCTGTTGTATATAGACAACTAACAGTTTTTAGAAGGTTTTTGTAATTGGTAATTGCTTTTATGAATAAACAAAGTTACTTCATATAGGACTTCAGTTAAAATAGCACTTAAAATGTTTTAAACTATGCAGCCATGAAGTACGGCACTCGAACATAAACCACAAAAACCGCGCGAGAAAAATAAAAGCATCGACAAAAAATAATAATAATAATAATAAAACAACAAAATGCATATGATTTCAATAGATTAGGCTTTTGTAACTCTGAGAAGGTTTCATGAGTATTTGAATACACAATAAATATTTACTACATTATAAACTGCGAGAACTCATTATTCTTGGTTGTCGCTTTGGTACTTGCTGTCACACGCAACGCTCATGCTCCGATCTATTGTCTCTTAATTGAAAATTTACCTATGTCAAAAAGTAATAAACAAAATAAACCATTAGAGTTGAAATAACCAAACACTTTCCTGTCCAAAACCGTTACTTTTACACCAATAGCAATTTTCATTTCGCTAATAGTGCTAAATTAACATTCACTTATTTCGTATGTTACTGATTCATTTAGTGAATTTCATTCGTAGATTGGACTCCAAAGGATACAGCTTCATAATTAATTCATTCTTGCTTCAATTTGTCGAGTATCATGGAAAGGAATAACCTCCGAACAATATCTTTTATTTACTCGACTTTTTTTTGCAAAATTTCCATCTATATAGCGATACGAGATGTTATGTCCCATCAGCGCAGCCAATCCCAGTAATCTAAATCTCAACACACAGGGCGGAAATATAATGTTTTTTAGTGTAATTCGTTGAACCAATAGGACAACCGATCGTGGTTGCATAGGTTTAGGTGATAAAACTATAATTTCTTTAGATGGTCTCAAACAGTGACCTACTGGGGATTAGTTTGTATTAGGACACCATGGGACATTTACCAATCTCTTGATATCGCGATTTTGACAGTCATCGTCTTACCTCAAGACAAGGCTTTGAGTTATGAAATATGCCTACTKTGTGTATTATCGGGAAATGATTTTTTTTATATGTTAACCTCCTAATAAAGAAACTCCAATGATAGGTTAGAAGAACTTTTGGCACCAGACATACATGTCCGAAAAAAAAATTCGCATGATTTTTGAACAAATTGTAACAATAATACGCAATGATTTTCTTTCATTTTTAGATTCCTTTGGTGATTCGGAAAAAAAGTGCCCCTGAAGTCAAGTGTTCATTAAAATCGCTACTGTTTTAACGTCATTTTTGACCGGTAATTGTTAAAATTATCAATATCTGCACTATTATCGTTTTCGTCGTTATCTTACATACAGTATTCATTATTGGCTGCCTGTTTGGAGAGTTTCAAACATATTTTCCAAGTTACACAATGTTACAGTTCTATAGTAGTAGATRCTTATCAAGACCAATCAGAACTCGCTTATCCAGTATATCAGCACTGGGGGAGGGAGGGGGGATTGCTCAAACTATTTGAAATAATATACGTGTATCTAGCAGATTTTCCTAATGGGATTAACAATCCATACCCCCCAAAATATACATGTGTTATCAATTCAAGACTTCAGGTACCTTTGAAAATAGATATCTACAGATCTGCATGATATCATGGATTTTCTGCGGTATTTTTATGGTTACATCTCGTCGTTAAACATTTAGCCTGTCCCCTGGTCAGTCCTTATAAGAAAAATTGTTTTATGGACTAGGGTGCAAGGATCTTGTATCTATTAGTTTTAACTATGTTCTCAGTTCCTGGATGAAAAAGCTCTCAATACTCTATAAAGAYAATACTTGCAAGTATAATCATTATCACATTTTTTTCTTATGAGAATATATGAACTTTGTTTACTTTTTTTTCCGTCAACGGAGCCATTTATTTGATTACTCGCACGAAAGCAAGTGGGCTTGACTGAAGTGAAGTAGTTGGCCCTTAGGCATTTGACCAGTACGGTTCCACCTGCTTTCATAGTACATTGTAACTAATTAATGAAACCCTTTATGTGTTTATTGTTGATAAAACATTGTTTAGAAATGTCTTGTATTATTTTGTTTTATATAGTCACGGCATCGGCTGATCAWCCTCCTTTAACTGAATAGTCAAACAGGTTTAACTGGTTTTCTATGGTCGATAGGCGATAGGGGTCGGAAAGATAATTGATTTTTATTTTTTTGGTAATAGTGTTGGCAATATGTTTGCAGACCAACTTCACGTCTAGTTCTTATTATTTTGCGATTGAATTTTGTTGTAAAATATTAAATGGTTGGGCTCTTTGTAGTTTATAAAGCTTGCTGAAAAGTCCAGTGAGTCATCTCTGAATGTCCGATTTGTATTCCATTCATAATTCTAAAAACTGTTGCTTTTTAACAGCTTATACTATGAAGCAGAGTGTTTCGTTTCACATAATTCTATAGGGTTTTCATTAGTCAGAACCAACCGGACAGAAAATTCTTATTAGTATGTAGATACAACTCTTTCTAGAGAATTTTTTGCAGGTTTTTCCCTAAAATATTAGATAAAATTTGAGAAATTACTAGTCAGATCTCGGTTAAGCTGGACAGATCTGACAAGCAACGGTATAGTCTGGGTTTGGCCGCAGTCAGTTCTGACTAATGGAAACCACCCATTCYTTACTAACCACACTGTACTCGAGAGTACTTTTCGCTATACAKAAACTGACCTCCCATCCAAAAACTATAAAAATTTAACTAAGTACCACACTAATTTACAAGTGGGAAAAACAAGACTATTTTCTGAGTTAACTTGTTATACTGAATAATAGCAAACTAATTTCTACCAATACTGAGAAAGAATTTTTTTATGATAGCAACTTCTTGCTTACCTGATATTTGAGCGTAGCTTGTTGTTTATCACCCAGTTTGTCTATCCCAGTTATGTACTCGCCATTAGCGTGTATCAATTCCCACTGGCTGATTCACTTGTTCTGTTCTAGAGTCTATGCTAATGTTTTACACAGCTAATGCCAATAGTTTTTGGGGCTTTGTTTGCACCTCTCATTAAATGATAATAAAGCCTGKTTTTTAACCTATGAAAAGTGCTAAACCAAAGTGTTATATTCTGATCTTATCGAGTAAAGCCACCCGCATGCTGTATCTAATTTTTGATCAATGATGAACATCCTTGATAGTAATACYAGAAAAACACAGTACAACCTTATCATATGACATTAAGTTTTATTCCACCCAGCGCTCACGGCCGGTCAATTTATATCATTCTATATTAACAAAACATATAACTTTTAGAAATCTGCTGCTAGGAATAATTCAAATGTGTTGACTTTGATCTGTCATCATTTTGATAATTTAAATTATAAATACGCAACACACGCGGTTGTTTTTCGTGATTTCAATTCCGTTAACTGAACAGTGATGAGTTTTGAGTTTGTGGTGCTTATTACATATTCATGGGATTTTCTATGCTTTGCATTATTAATCATTTTGTTTAGATCTTACAGTGTCAAAGAATACATTTAGYTTAGAATACGTYTTWAAAACACTTCRTAACATTCTGGCTACTCTAGCAAGGACGTARGTTCCGATGTTCGACTAGGCGTTCCTTAATGCACTTAATGGAGACCTGGTAACTAGTGAAGTTTTAGCGCGAAATCTCAAATCCAAGATGGCGGCTTTGTAGCGAGGGATRGGTTGAAAATGTCTAAATGGATTCATCCAAAATATAATGAACAGTGCAAAAATAACGCTCCTTCTTCGACAAGCTCGACATTTATTGATAGTAGAAAGGTTCCTCGTGGTTTTTGGTTAACTTTATTCAATGATAAATGCCCAAAAGGTAGTATTTTTTCGTTCACGCGTTGCAAAGAATRTCGCGCAAGTTTCTGTTGTTTATCATTTTGTGTTAGCTGCAGTAACCTTGAATGTACGTCATTGATTCTCTAAATGTATAATTCTTAAAGATTACAAGTCTYTGATTATTTTTKTTGCGTTAGGACTTGGAMAAACCAGTGAAAAATTAGCGAATGACAACGACCTCTCTTGCGAGGACTTTCTTGAACAAATTGGTGATTCTGACGAGTTTAATGTTGAACKTGGACTTCAAAATGAGCTCMCTTACCAGTCAATATCACCWGTCACAGACGAAGATAAAGCAAAGAGTCAAGATGATTTAAATGGTGTTTGCAGTGAGGGCAAACAAGTTTCCAATCAAGAATGCCAAGGATTCAAAACACCAGTTCTAGAGAAGCACAARAGTTCTAGCTGTGAAGTGTCAACTCCTTATCTGTTCAGCCCTGACCTACTGAGTCAAGGTACTCAAGGTAATATCCTTTACTAATAGACCTGCTGTAGAGCCATAACTCTATAATTGAGCTATTGTCATAGATGTAATATTTGATCATTTATTTATAAATGTTTTTATCCTATAAATACAGCATAAGAAAAGGGGATCAGCATAATATCTCTTACCTCTTTTTGTTCTATTTTCTCCAATAGAAAAGATGATAACTCTTTACCAGGAATTTGTATATTTAAAAAAGTCTTTCCTTTTTAGTTATTTTTCATGTTTTTAAGAGGTAATAAGGAGCAACATATTTTACTAAGATTTTTTATATTTTTTTCAATTTCTTGACGAAATTGAAAGGATGTCATTTCTAGCTATACTATTAGTATTTGATACTTTCAGATGCTGTCTGTACCCCTAAAGATTACCATGGAACAGCATATGAACATAAATCAACTGGTTCACAGTCACTCCAGGCAATAATACCATCTCTTGACAATAATGGTGTCAACAKTATATTCCAGTCAAGTCCAGACATTCTTGATCTGATGGTAAAATGATTATAAGTACCTGTTGTTTATTAAAGAATTATATAACGGCACGTGTGTCTCTGTCCTCTGATATAAACACGGTCGTCACCCAATCAGAGCTCGCATTATATATCAAACATTTTATATTAAAGGCTATTATGTATGCACTATTGTTAATAAATACCGTAATTCACCCTTTTCTAAGATGTTGATCATGATGGTTACTGTATGTATTAATTTTGTATTAAATCATCAGAATTCAAACACATGAAAAACTTGGGGACTTTTTAGGTTTAACAGAGTTTCACTAGATCATTTGGCATGGTTTTAATGTTTTTTTATATAAATTATTATCTGCATTATTAGGTAGCAGAGAAGAGACCAAGAAGTAGCCTGGCATTTCTATCTGATGGTAATTCTGATGACAGTATAGATGAATGGTCTGATKCCATGGCAACTCCTCCAATGCACTGGAGTCCATCACAAGGTAAAGTATGTGTACACAGTGTCAAATGTATTCAGTATTCAAGTTAGTATTTTGTTATTTTTCTGTAGAAATATATCCTAAACTATAAAATGTACTTTAGAGTTCTTTTTTRCATCTTATTGTATGTAACAGGATCTGCAGAAGATAATAACACCGATCAACAGAACCAAGAAAAGGTATAGTGTTGTTATGACTAATAAACCTTTTGCAGTCCATAAAAATGCAGCTTCATTTATGAACAAAATAATTGATTCATGCTCTCAAGAGGAAAGCAAAAATCTTTTGTCCCTCTGATAAAGTTACTTCAACACTTGTAAGATATCAACATAATATTTTGTGAGCAACAGTTTGTATAAGGATTTACTTGAATTTTCTCTTAACTTAAAGTTTCTTAGCAAAATCTGTTTTAACCTAAAAATGTATAGGATGCAACAAATGTGTCCAGATTTTGACCATTTTCTGGGCATCTTCATTGGCAATATATTTTTACTTCCATATTTCAGAATGTTGCCAGGACACTTTTCAAAGGAACAAGCAAAGAAATATCTCAAGGTTTAGGAATGTCAGGATTTTCTATCTTGGATTCATGTGAAGAAAAACTAGATAAATCACATAGAGTTTTAACTGGAAAACAACTTGTGGAGGTTTCATCCTTGTCACATGATGATTTCCTACCAAAGGTTATAAATGGAAGTACTTTAGTKAATGAACAATCTATTAGTAACAAATCAAACCAAGAGGACTATTTACCACTACAAGAGAATCAAACAGTGATAAAAAGTGATGSATCAGAGGTAGCCAATACATCCCTCAATGCCACATTAACAATGTTTCCACCAACTTTACCCTGCAACAGCCCACTTTCTCAAGAAACTACACTTTTATCAGAGCTTGCRCAGTCCACACCTAATGCATCAGTTTCTAAAAGCAATAGGAACATTGAAGAGAGTGATAAATGTAGAATTAWAGTTAAAAGAAACAACAGTAAGAACAGCATGCGTCACAGGTCGACTAGAGGTTCTCCATTCTTTACAAAGAGTCTGTCAAATGAACAAAAAGACAAGGCAAGYCAAGATACTTGTRATTCCYCACATGACTTGTCAGTGCAARYCCCTAAGACGTCAAGTGTTTGTGGGATAATAGACAGGGTAACAAATGCAAAAGATGTCAGTGACRTTTCAGTTGGATCGCTTTCCAAGTCCTTGGAGCAAGAGATGGTAAAACAAGCAGAAATTGCTTCAACTGCAACAGTTTGTTTCACATCAGGTAATGTATGTAGCTTTAGTATACTGTAATATCTTGAAGGTGTACAGTTTTCTGTGTGRCACAAGTAGCCAAGGAATTGCACAATGTAACTAAGATTGTCTCACACCTTTATTTATTTGGGGGGGGGGGGGTGAACATACATGTACTGTATATTTAGCATTGCACTAAGCAGAAGTCAAGTCTAAAGGTGCTGCTACACGAGCGATTTTTCATTTGCGCAGGTGACGGGATTTTCTCAAAATTACCAGCGCACAGTGTGGCTACACAAGCGACAATGTTGTATCAATAAAAAATCCTCACAAATACTTCTTTTAACCTCCATAAAGAGGTATATGTGCAAAAACAGGGGCTAAAATATATTTGAACTATAGTATACATGTAGAACCAGACCCCAATTTGTGTGGCCAATCTGGGAAAAAAATGATTTATGGACTTTGTATATCACCCCCATTCCCACCATTTTTTCGAAGCAAACTGAGTTCATGGCCCACATTTCTTTGCTCCCCTTTGCAATGTTGTGTCCTATTTACAGCAGAAACCGTTGCATCGAGACTTCAATGTTCAAAGAAAATACTTGGGATTTAGGTTTTTCTGCGACTTGGGGGAGGAGCTTGATACTAATCAGCCAATGATTGAACGAGTTTTCGAAAAGCTCCGCACCTCAGATTGAAAGAGAGAACAAACTTCAAAACAAAGAGGTCGCAATGCAACGATTTCTGCTGTAATCATGTACATGTACAACATGGGGGGGGGGGGGGGGGGGGGGGGGGCAGATAGAAAATAGTAGACAAGGGTTCAGTGTAAGTGTTGTACCAATTCACTTCTAAAAACAATACTAAACAGTGCTTCTTCAGAAACACACTCTTATGCTAAAACAACATACTAAACAAAATACTTACTAAAATTTCTAGTGCTGAGTCCCTTTAGTGCTGTTATTTGGTGATCACTATTGTGTGATTTCCTACAAAGTAGCTTCWTATAGCATGACACATATGAAGGGACTAAGAGGCTAGTTACTGGAAGTCAAGCATTAAATCAGAATTTCCTTGTAATTCCTTTAGGTGAAAATAGTACTGAGAGCGACACAAGACATCAAAACGTACGTGACAGGAAAGATCAAACACTTGAGTCAAATGACTTAAGCAGTTGTTCTCACGAAAAAGAAACCATATTCTCTCACAATGATAATGACGCTCTAGAAGAAAGATGTATTAGGAAAACCAATGCAACTCGTGTTGAAACAATCAWACAACAGAAACGGAAAAGCCCTTCTCCGGTTCTTTCAGTTAAGAGGTCATCTAAATTAAAAMGATTTTCTTATCCAAATGCAAAACACTCGAGAGATTTCAAAACTGACTACACAAATAGCAACTTGATTCAGAAAGAAAAGGAACCCTCGGAAAACCTTTTACATAAAAATGAGTCTTATAAAAAGAAYGCAAAAGACRATGTGAGCTTCAAACTCTTGGRAAATACACAGAAAATCGTGTTAACMTCAGAAAATCGCGTTAACYTGTATCAAGAAACAGAAATGCCACTTGAGACCTTTGAGCAAACTAAAGACGAAAAAAATGTCAAGTCAGATGAAAAATGTACCGACCAAAAAGACAAGGAAGTGGAGTTTGAGCAAACCGACTCTGAAAATGATATCCTGGCTGAAGAAGTTACAGACCGCACCCTTATGATGGTTCCTGAAAGCACAACCCCAGCATGTGAGCAATTGTTTGACATGGATGCTCTAAGCCAGTTCCCATACGAAATGTCATCACCGCCTGTTAACAGGAGCAATGAGAGTCAAAAGCTCGACCAAAATGGAACTTCTCCTGACCAAAATGCAGATATTAAGTTGAATAAAAGCTGGTCTGAAATAGAACCGGTAAACAATTATGGCCCAATGACAGGCAAATCAAGTGTTAGTGCTATGGCAGATGGCAGTGCTGCCTCTACGAATTTTCAACAGCATTCCACGTCGGGATTCAAGACTGCAAGTGGCAAGGATGTCAATATCTCAGAAGAAGCTTTGAAGAAAGCAAAAGCCATGTTTGAAATGGAAAATCAACAACCGAGTGCTGCCTCTTCAAATTGTAAACCGTCTTCCATGACAGGATTCAAGACTGCAAGTGGCAAAGATGTCAATATCTCAGAAGAAGCTCTGAAGAAAGCAAAAGCCATGTTTGAAATGGAAAATCAACAACC